CCACTTATACATTGCGATAACATTTATAGCAATTGTCTCCAAATTATTGTTTTAATTAGTTCTGTTTTTTGTTTCATTATACCCATTGGAATTTCTGTACAAAAAAACAATTACAAAAATGAAATAATAACAATTAATACACACTTCTTCAATTGACCTAGAACTTTTGTACTCCTTCTATGTAGTCCACGAATCAACACTCGCGCGCAGTTGTTCTGCATTCAGGTTTTCGGACTTCCATATTCTATTCCGTTTGGAAATAGAGGCATAGGCCTTCTTTTCATTACGAGTTTTGTGTAGCATAATTGACACATGACTGCCTTCAAAAGTATGATAATTCCCTTAAAATATATATTTATACATTCTTTGGTCGGTAGGTTTAAGTCAGATAAACCCCTCGTGCCGTGGCTTCGGCATTTAATCTCGGTCGGACAATATATTCTAGAAGATACCTCGTACTTGGATTTAATCATATACTCAATTTATAAGAAACAAAATTTCAACAATTAGAAAATCAGTTTGGATTATATATGTCCTTCTAGACGTACATTCTTTCAAGCTTGATGCAAACTACCCGAATGAGAAAGACTATACTTGTTTTACACAATGGTCAAATAACTCCAAACCACAAAAATATTTTAAATACTGTGAGACAGCTGTGCACAATAAATCTCAAATCAAACAATAAAATTGGCTGATAATCTATAATTGCTCCGATGTCATGTTGTTCTTTCAGTGATAATTATGGAGCTTACAATAACGTCAAATGTCAACCACTCGTTATATAAATAATATCTGAAAAGTTTCAATTGTTTGCTTTTTTTAGAATATTTGTAGTATAGTATGAGGTGTATTATAACTGGTCAGTAACACAAACTATGCTAATACTTAATCAAAGTACATACCGAATAAGTATTACTATAAATTTATAGTATAGATTTTGGTAATTCAGTGGTGCGATAACATGCATTGATGCGTTTGTTAAGACATATACAATGCAGATGCAATGCTCGTGTTCACGTTCATTTTAAGAAACTGTTGAAACTGATATTGGTTTACCATATGTACATACCTAAAAATGTTC